CAGTGCCTAGATTCATGGCTTAAGCCTCCACAAAACCGTTGTAGTTGGGAGGGGCGACGTGCTCCGCTTGCTCGGTTTACAGACAAGAGCACACCAGTAGTACATACTAGCAACAACTTGGACATCTTTGAGGAATTGAAGTAACTATTTGCGCATTTTTCGACGATTCAATAAAATTCACCGTCGGTCATTTTTTTAACCCAAGAAAGGCAAGGCCCGTCGAAATGATGCTCGTTAAATTAAAAGACTGTAAATAAATTCTGAAAGTGACACATAAAAGTTACAATCTTAGTCTCTGGAACAATGTAAATAAAAACAAGTTTCTCAAATAAAGGTTCCTGTAAAACCATGACAACTTGTGCTCTTATTTCCATAGCAATTTTCATTGATCCAAATTGTATAATGAAGGATAAGAGTACTCATATATTTGTTTTATTGTCACAGTTCAACAGCCATACAAGATAGTACCTTCTAATGATCCACTCTGTATAATCTTCAAATACTTCGTTCGTTTTTTATTTCAGTTGGAACATATTTTTCTTTATATGGTCACACAAGTATATGATGTTGTATAAAAATAACCTGCAATATTCGGCTTTAACTCTTGTTGAGGGAAGCTTACTTTTCTAAGGTTAAAATAAAAAGTTTAATATCACGCTCGCTCGAAAATATTCAAATCTTTTGCGTTAAAATGTCGCTCGCTGGTGTTCGTTTCGAAATGAATTACAGAGCAGAGGCGAAATTTTCCTTCAACCGTAATAGAAATATGTTCTGTCATGACTCTGTCCGTTTATTTAACCGGTTTAAATATTTGCAAATTTGCCAGTTGCATATCTATCCCTTCTCTGCATGCTTCTTGCTCCAGTAAATCGCTGTTGAATGAAGTGCTACGTATCCACAGGGGAGCAAGTATCAAACGTGGATTTTACGTTTCTGTCTATTTGAAAATTGATTCATAGTGATTTTTTTTAAGACTGACGGTTATTAGTTTACTATTTACTATACTACCACAATATACTATTGGTAGACGAGAATAACTACCAAGAGTTGAAGACTTGTGATACGGATACACTTCAAAATGACTATCGAGGGTTGAAGACTTACACCACGTATTCACTTGAGAGTGATTATCGAGGGTTGGAGACGTATGCTACGTGTTCACTTGAGAGTGAAAAATTTCTAATAAAGGTGAAGAAGCCTGAGAATAATAGGTTTCAATCACTGTCACATAGCATACTACGTATTATTAAATTAATGTGTTATTAAATTTCATAATGGGAATAGTGCACTTTTTAAGGTACCCAAACATCCATTCATATTTTCGGAGCCCCAAATTCTTAATTAAACGTTTCGTTTAAAAATGCATGGAATACATATAAAGTTCGACCGGATTTTCCAAGTTGTTCGATGTATTTCAATTACAGTGCATTAGGGTGGTCGTATGGATCGGTAACCGCACGTGTCGCCTTCCAGGATTGCAGTATACGCTGTGGGATGTACCTGGAGATTTAATTAACGAGCTGCCTCGATCGGAAAACGTTGCATATACGCGTATTACCCGTGCCACACCTGAGACCCTCCACGTTCCGTCGAAGTACTTAAGAAATTCTGTCATTTTCAAAGCTCTTAAAACGCTCGGGTTAAAGCCTCTTCAACGAAACTCGATTTAAAAGTAATCTAACACGGATATTAGAAAAAGAAAAAACCAAGTTTTTATCAGGTCACCAAATTTTTAACAGTAATTAATGAAATATATATATTTATAGGTTCTGTTTTTATTCCATGCAAAATACTATAAAAAGTCATCAATTTTAACCTGTATAATTATTTATTTTTTTTACTAGTTTCCGTTCACTTTGACTTAATTTAATTGCTTCATTAGGTTTCACGCCCGTGCATATGCTATGAATGCCGGTGTAATGATAGGTACATTTCAACTGTAATTATGTAAAACATTATAAACAAATAAAACATTATATAACTGTATAATGTTTTTTCTGGAACTTACGTTGGAGTCAACACTGTTTATTCACGTTTGCAATGGATTTTAGAAAAACAGTGTATCTGTTTCAATTTCAATAAACAATAGGTACTCTATTTTATATTTCAGGAAGCCAAGACAATACTTTTCTAACATTTTATACGTTAAAAAATATAAACCACATATTCGTAAAAAAGAAGTAGCTTGTTTACTGATGCAACCATACATTGCAAAAAAATAATGAAAAAGTAATACGAATAATTAACAACATATTATTCTAGACACACTGATGCAATGCCTGTAATTATTCGTTACAGAAATGGACTTGGTTAAAAATTGATTAATTATGACTGACGCTTTTGCGGCTGACATCAAAGGGATACGGTCAGACACGCGCATTATCCAGTGAACAGGCTACTCTCCTCGCAAAGGATAATTGCATTAACGGCCGGCTTTCAAGGAAGTTGGCAGCATACCGAGAAAAGTCAGCTGACAAGGGTACGTATATCATAGCCACTGTGGCGCCACCATCGTTAGCCTCTCTGATTACGAAGGATGCATATCAACACGCCGTTATCAACAACCGGGTCATTATTGACCCGTTACTAAATTATTTCCTCAATGACAAAATTGATCATTGTCCCATATATATATAAATGTCTGACATATTTTGTTATGGGTCATGACTGACCTAGTCGTCGGTTTTAACGGTCTTTTTCTCCAGTTCAGCAATGGAAAGTATAATGAAAATTCACTGTCAGGCTATAGTCTTGCATAAAATTGATCGTCACTCGAGGGTTAATATAGAACGTGAATCATCGAACACTTTGAAAACCTGAGAAAGAATGTATAGGACAGCCTCCTGCATTCCAATATCCGAACATTTCAATATCCGAACATTTCAATATCCGAACATTTCAATATCCGAACATTTCAATATCCGAACATTTCAATATCCGAACATTTTCAATATCCGAACATTCCAATATCCGAACATTCCAATATCCGAACATTCCAATATCCGAACGTTCCAATATCCGAACATTCCAATATCCGAACGTTCCAATATCCGAACGTTCCAATATCCGAACATTCCAATATCCGAACATTCCAATATTCGAACGTTCCAATATCCGAACGTTCCAAAATCCGAACGTTCCAAAATCCGAACGTTCCAAAATCCGAACGTTTCAACATCCAAACGTTCCAATATCCGAACATTCCAATATCCGAACATTCCAATATCCGAACATTCCAAAATCCGAACGTTTCAACATCCGAACGTTCCAATATCCGAACATTCCAATATCCGAACGTTTGAACATCCAAACGTTTCAACATCCGAACGTTGCACTATCCGAGCGTTCCACTATTCGAGCGTTCCACTATCCGAGCGTTCCACTATCCGAACCTTCCAGTATCCAAACGTTCTACTATCCTGACATTCTACTATCCGAACACTTATGTCTTTTTGTTCGTTCGCATACTGGAGGATCTACGGTATAACAAAATATGCTGTGTTAATTCTGATTCGTGCTGTGCTCGATAATTGTTAAGTAAAGCCCCTCCACCATCGAAAATCTCAAATTCCATCCAATTGCTCGCGGGAAAAATAAAATTCGCATAACTCTCAGGACAGTTTAATTTAGCGCCGCGAATAATACAATTATCGGCGCATTACGTGCCACCGGAATAACAATTTCCCGGGCGGGTAGACTCGGCCCGCCGGATAATTTAAGATTAAGTCGGATGACCATGCTTTACCGTAATGCGTGTTACTCCCAATTTTACGCAAACTTTTCCGGTATTTTACACCTTCTCCCCCCGTAAAGTCGCCGGTTACCCGGGGCCAGGCACAATGTAAACGAGAATTAACGGGCACACTTTGCGCGAAGGATTCCTCGCCGGCCGCACAGTGAAAACAAATTCGCACGCGGAAATTTAATCAGCCGGTTGGACGACAACGGGGGGTTGGCGAAAAACAAAAAGGGTGGGATCGTTTTGTCCTGAAAACGGCAATGTTGTCATCGTTAGATTAATCCTCTGTGTATATACAACGTCCATACGGAAGGCTGGGTTAATCGTGACCCACAGCAAGTTCAGAAACATGCACTTGCATACGCAAAACAATTTTTAATTAATTGCTGTATAAACAACTCGTCATACATCGACAGGTCGCCGATGACCCGACTATAGAAATATAGAATCATGAAAGACCCAGCCATAGGATCGTAAAAACATTAAAGACCCGACCTTAATACATGCAGATCATTAAAGATCTGGCGATAGGACATATTGGTCATTACAAACCTGGCCATAGGACAAGTGGGTCCTCAAAGACTTTGTTATAGAATAGGTGGATAGTGAAAAAATACCTGGCCATGGTAGACATGGTTCACTAAAGACCCTGCCACAAGGACATATGTGTCATTAAAGGCCCGGTTATAGGATAGATGGGTCGTGAAAGACCTGGCCATAAGGCAAGTGCGTCATCAAAGACCTGACCATGGTACACATGGGTAACTAAAGATCCTGCCACAATCACATACAGGTCATTAAAGACCGAGTCATAAAACATATGGGTCATTAAAGACCCGATCACAGAACAAGTGGGTCACTAAAGACTTAGCCATATGACAAATAAAGCATCACTGACCAAGCCATAGAACTAATGGGTCATTAAAGATCCGGCAATATGACAAGAGGGCCATCAATGACCCGGCCACAGGGACGTAAGTATTAATCGAAAGCAGGATGGACACTTTTTTTTCACCCAAATTGGAACAGGAGGGACAAATGTACGCGTGTCAAAAGCATTTTTAATAAACACCCTGGCCTCGATTGTCCCTCCGCTCCCCATTTTGCCGCCTATCCCCACGGATACGTGTTCCGTAGTGGTGTGTTTTCATGAAAAATTTATTAGAACGAGGTCACGCGCGCGGCATCAAAGCTCGTGAATCACGAATTATACGATGTTGTTGCAGCCACGTGTTACAGAGTACAATAATTCTCTACTGACCTCCACAAGGGTGATGAGGATGATGAAAAGAGGCGGCGGGCAACAAGTGTAGTGATCGGCGTAATACTTCCGGTCCCTTTCCTCTGTCAGGAATTCGTCGCCGATCATGCGGACCATCCTGTAATCAAAATCGTATCCTTATTAATATATATACTCCGATCTGTAATTTTTTATTTCGAATTTTTTCTTTTTCTCTGATTGTAATTTAATTTATTTGCATATTATTTTTTTTTTAGGTACCAAGGTGGCCATGAGGTTTTTCAAAGTCAATTCGTTCTGTTTCAATACCACGTTGTTGTCGATGGAAGGACGAATTTAGTGACCTATATCATGATGTTATTACAAAAAAAAAAAGATGCACTGACCTCGAAAAAATTCAAGGTCACCTTGATACCTCAAAAGAAATAAGATACAAAAGAAATTAAATTATATCCATCGTATGCGTCTCATAAATTGCTATGTAATTCATTAAAACGTATTTGGATACAGCCAATAGGTAACGAGTTATTAGATAGTAATACATATTGACTCACCCTGTATATTATTACACGCAGAAGTACATTGAGCAATTCATTAGGGGAGATCCAATCAAGGGAAGAAGGAATTTTTTCTGCAGGACACTCGGATACAACACACTTCGAAATTAATCTATCGGGTGACCCCGGAGGATATTCTTGAACTAATCATCGGGCCTGCAGCAATTTTCGCGGCGGGAGGTTATATCGGGCCGCTACCCTCGTTAATCGTCGCCAGAGGTAGCGAAATAATATTATCCCAACCTGTCAATATCTCGGCTGTCGTCACGCACGCTACTTCGCCGCGATATTAATTATCCTTAATTAATTGTCCGACCCTCGGCGCCCGGTCGCATTGCCAACGCTAATCGGACATCTTCTGTCAGAATAATACATAGTCAAAATCATCTATATTTTTAATACAACGATTCGATGAAACAGGAAACGTTCAACAAATGTTATTCATTTCCAGTTTCGATATATGTCCATGTACAGAGCGTTTCAAGTGATCACGTCACGATGTTTCAATTGGTTGACTGGAGAGGACGAGGTAGCTCATATTATGAACATTTTGAAATGATCGATTTTTGATGTTGCTACGTTGAAAATAAACAACTTCTGCTGCTGAATAGTCTTGCAGTTCCTATTTTATTCAGCTTTCCGGATTAGAATACGTTATAGTTGCACAATTCGTCTGATTATAGTACCTCCGCATTCTTTTCTGTGATCAAGATATATGAAACACCCTGTATATAGATAACCAAAATCTAGTACTTCACTGCTATATTAAGTATTGCATATTACCAGTACCCAAAATTCTCATTTCATCATTATTTACGACGGGGTCAAAAGTGACCCAGGCATCGGTAGAATTAAAATACGATCAGACATCGAACCAGCACTTCGAACACAAATATATACTCGAGCCTTCGGTGCCGTAGTACATCGATCGTCCGGATAACACTTCGCGCACCGTGCAATAATTATTAAGAAACATTGGCTCGTAACTCAGTCCGTTAGCCATAACACGCTGTACGTTTACTGCACGGCAGATAAACTATCTCAGTCCCGTTTCTCGAGGCTCGAAACTCCGAGGGCGGACATCCTCGGAAGACGATAAATAGAGTGGAAGTAGCTATGACAGGGAAATGGAAAAGAATGGCTGATAGAATGAGGATAGAGTGCCATACACTACTCAAAGCAATTAGAGAATCGCTACCGTGCGAACTCCTATTTCTGTACCTAATACACAGAAAATGTTGGGTCATTAAAGACCTTGCTATAGAAATAGAGGGTATTTAAAGATCTGGTGACACGACAGGTTTCTTATTACAGATCTGATGTTCGAAAAGAAGGGTTATTAAATGCCGAATCTTGTCGACATAAGGTCACTAACGATCCAATCATGGCAAGCCACGATTATTAAAGACTCGACCTGGGAAAGATAGGGTCATTAAAGACCCGATATTGGGGAGGTAGGGTCAGTAAAGACCCGATCTTGGAAGGATAGGGTCATTAAAAACTCCATTTTGATAACTTGGGGTCATTAAAGACCCGATCACAGGGACGTAGGGTCATTTAAGACCTGATCACAACAACATAGGGTCATTAATGACCGGATCTTGGAAGGATAGGGTCAATAAAGACCCGATCTTGGCAGAATATAGTCATTAAAACCCTATTTTTGAAGGATAGAGTCATTAAAGATCCACTTTTGATAACTTAGGGTCATTAAAGACCCGATATTGGGGAGGTAGGGTCAGTAAAGACCCGATCTTGGAAGGATAGGGTCAATAAAGACCCGATCTTGGCAGAATATAGTCATTAAAACCCTATTTTTGAAGGATAGAGTCATTAAAGATCCACTTTTGATAACTTAGGGTCATTAAAGACCCGATCACAGAAACGTAGGGTCATCAAAGACCCGATATTGGAAAGGTAGGGTCAGTAAAAACCCGATCTTGGAAGAATAGGGTCATTAAAAGCCTAATCTTGGAAGAATAGGGTCATTAAAGACCCGATATTGGGGAGGCAGGGTCAGTAAAGACCCGATCTTGGAAGGATAGGGTCATTAAAAACTCCATTTTGATAACTTGGGGTCATTAAAGACCCGATCACAGGGACGTAGGACCATTTAAGACCAGATCACAACAACATAGGGTCATTAATGACCCGATCTTGGCAGAATATGGTCATTAAAACCCTATTTTGGAAGGATAGGGTCATTAAAGACCCACTTTTGATAACCTGGGGTCATTAAAGACCCGATCACAGGGACGTAGGACCATTTAAGACTTGATCACAACAACATAGGGTCATTAATGACCCGATCTTGGCAGAATATGGTCATTAAAACCCTATTTTGGAAGGATAGGGTCATTAAAGATCCACTTTTGATAACTTCGGGTCATTAAAGATCCGATCACAGAAACGTAGGGTCATCAAAGACCCGATCGTAGGCCATAAGGGTTATTGAAGGTCTTGCCGTAGGATCGATAGGTCATCAAAGACCCGATCTTTGAAACTCAGGGTTCGTAAGGCCCCGATTTTTCGACCAAACAGTTAATTCAATGTGAGCTGCGATAGAAACAAAATTCTCATAATAACCATACATCATCTATCCAGTCAGAACCACCAAGGTCAAATACCTAACCACCACAAAATAGAGAAAACAGAACAATAACGATCACTTCCACCGTATCGACCAATTTCCCTCTTTATTCGAGTAGAAACGATTCCACCACGTCCGAAGTAGGGTACCCACGAGAAAAAAAACAACGAAGCGAAAGATCAGCAAAACTGTTAACCCACGCCGTTTCGTCCCCTGCGAGTAGGGTATAGGAAGGGGATCCAAGTATCCGTGAAATGGAAAACTGAACCATCCACGACCAGTGGGGATCAGTGAAAATGGAGACGGTCAGAGACACGCGAGATACGGTCGTGGTCTGCACAACTAGGCAGGACGGGGAAAAAAGTGTGATCTCGAAAATGCAGAGTTGGTTGGCGTGGCCGCGAAACTTGGCTTCCAACGACGACTTCGTAGGCGCGCACCTAATTGCCGTTGCGCGCCTCGAGACACCGTAGATCGCGCGAGCGATTTCCAATTAGCGATGTGACTGATATACTTGGGTTCAAGGAAACGAGAAAGGGGTCGTCTCTCCTATCCCCCCACCCCCGCCCCGGCCACTCTTTTGCTGCGCTCTCACGAGCACAGGTGGCGCGACAGTAGACGTCTGCCACACGCTACGGAACGAGGAGACATGTAAAGCTGCGTCTACACTATATAGCATAACACGTTATACAGGGTGGTCCACCTAGATATATCTTTCAGTTGTGATTATATAAAAAAAAATATGTGGCATGCAATTTGTATGGTCCGTAATAACACAAAATATTGAATACATATTCATCCAATATTAAAAAGAGATTCAATCCCTTTTTAATATTTGAATATACGCACAATGTTTATTTCATATTACGAAAAAAATATGTTTTTCCCAATATAAAATGAATATGTATTTAATATTGGAAACATGTATTTTATATTTCCTGTATATGTATACAATATTTGGATTCAATATTTATTTCATATTAAAAAGTGTGACTAAAAAAATATTTTTTCAATATTTTTGTGCTACTAGGGGTGTGAAAGGACAAATGCACTGCAAAGAATGTTTGTACACTCACGAGTAAACTTGGCTCCCACTAAGGGAAAAAGCGACGTGGAAGAAACGTCTTCTACCGCTCGGTAAATTTATTCCAGGTACTGAAATAAATGTTAATGTTAATTTCGCATAAATTTCAATAATTCCCAATACCAAGTGGTAGGAGGCTCTTTCCCTACGTTACTTTTTCCCCTAGCAGAAGCCGAGTTTCCTCGTTGGTGTACCACTTTTTTTCCCCCCCGAAGTTTTCAAGATCATCGATATTTTTATGCATACAAGTGTATATGTTGTTTCCTTCGCATATTGTAGCTGATATGTTAATGCCCTAACCTTGAAATAACCTACCACCCTGTATAGCAAAGTTACAAAACTAGTTAGACAAACAGAAAGAATAATGTTACATAACATTTTTTGTGTTATATAGCAAGTTATATGTTATCCATCAAGTGTAACGCCATTATTAGGTAATGAAATGCGAAATGTTATATAAACTTCTTACAAGCTCATAAAATCAAATAAAAAAAATTTTGTTATATAACACCGTTTTCCTATATAGTTAGATGCAGCTTAACACGAGGCACCGAGGAACACTCTGTAGGCGGCTCGAGGGATACTGATTAATTGCGACGACGACGACTACCTGTACCGAGACTTCATTATTAAACGTCCCAATGACCAAGCAGTAGTCGCCGCTAATTGATCCAGAGGAGGATCGTCGTGGTCGATAGTTAGAGTCTCGACACGTTGATGATTCTAGGTTCTGGATTATTTGTCAATGCATTGTTGGGTAGAGGTTAGGTGAGGGAATTTCTTCACTATAGAACTATATTCAAAGTATAGTTTTGGCTTTTATATTTGAAGAATAGAGATGAATGAAGGGGCTAAGTGGATCTTTGAGACGGGTTGGGATAAAAGAATAATGGTATAGTATAATAATA